CAGCCAATCAGGACTGAGCGAAATGAGCCAGACCCACCCTGGAGCCCTCCCATCATCCCTCCCCAGCTGGCCAACCTCCCAAGTCTCTCCCCAGGCTTGATCATGCATTGGTGAAGTCCCTTGGCCTGGCCTGCACACTCTCGCAAAATCTGGGACCCCTAGGAGGATGTCAGAGAGCTGGTTTCAGCCCGACAGTGGAACAACTGATCACTAAGACATTCAGTGACCACTAGGGGAGGGGGCAGATGCTCAACTCAGGAGCTGCCCCCTGGTGGTCAGTGCGCTCCCACAGGGGGAGCTCTGCCCATCCAGAAGCTGGGCTCACAGCTGGCAAGCGCAGCAATAAGGTTGTCTGACTGACGGCTTAGGCCCGCTCCCTTGCAGATCAGGCCTAAGCCATCAGTCAGACATCCCCCAAGGGCTCACGGACTGTGAGAGGGTACAGGCCAGGCTGAGGGGACACCTACCCCCCACGATCCTAGTGAATGAATTACATGCTCCAGGCCTCTACTATGTGTGTGTGTGTGTGTGTGTGTGTGTGTGTGTGTGTGTACACATTTTTTGGGAATTTTTTTTTACTGGATATAGAAAAGGAGGAAGAGGGAGATAGAAACATTAATGATGAGAGAGAATAATAGATCAGCTGCCTCCTGCATGCTCCACACTGGGGATCCACCCCGCAACCCAGCATGTGCCCTGACTGGGAATCGAAGTAGTCAGTGCTCAGCCACTGAGCCATGCAGGCCAGGCTAGCTATATAGTCTTAATCACGAGGCTTTTTTAAAATGCCGTGGGACGTGGGACAAATTGTTAAAAAGCGGGCGTCTGGTCACTTTAACACACACACGCGCGCGCACACACACACATTTATATGTATGTATATATCAAATAAAGACAATGGAGTTACAATATCATGGGTCTCTTAATCTGAAATTTGTATAGTAGGCTGTGGCAGGCTAGAAACTCTCCTTGAGGACCTAATATTAAAGTCTTGAGGTGGAATTTTTTTCTCAGGGAAGGTAACCAGTTTTGCTTTTAAGGTGATTCAGCTGATTAAATGAGGTCTATCCACATTATGGAGTGTAACCTCTTTTACTTAAAGTCATCTTTTAAAAAAAAATTTAAAAATTTATTGACTTTAGAGAGACAAACATCTATTGGCTGTCCACTTATTTATGCTTCATTGGTTGATTCTTTCATGTGCCCTGATGTGATCAAACCCACAACCTTGATGTATTTGGATAACACTCCAAACAACAGAGTTACCCAGCCAGGGCTATTTAAGTCATCTGGTTGTAGATGTTAACCACATCTACAAAATACTGTCATAGCAAGGTTAGTTTTAGAATACTAATATTACTACTATTGCCTAGCCAAGTTTACATATCTATACTAATAAAAGGGTAATAGGCTAATTAGGCCTGGCGACCTTATGGATGTCCTTCTGGACAAAGCCATGGTGGTGGGGCCGAGGCAGAGGTGGTCAGGGGCGATCAGGCCAGAAGGGGAGGGCAACTGGGGGTGATCAGGCTGTCAAGGGGGGGAGGCAGTTGGGGGTAAGCAGGCTGGTGGGGGGGGGCAGTTGGGGGCAAGCAGGCCAGCAGAGGGGGCAGTTGGGGGCAAGCAGGCCAGCAGGCAGAGTGGTTAAGGGTAATCAGACAGGCAGGCAGGTGAGCAGTTAGGAACCAACAGTCCCAGATTGTGAGAGGGATGTCCAAATGCCAATTTAGCCCTATGGGATTGGGCCTAAACCAGCAGTTGTACAAACCTTGAGGAGTCCCAGATTGGAGAGGGTGCAAGCCAGGCTGAGGGATACCCCCACCATGCAGGAATTTCGTGCACTGGACCACTAGTCCAACTAATAAACATTTTTTAATGCTATCCACTCAGTAAAATTATCACCTCATTGTTAAACCCATTTGGGACTTAAACCTTTACCCATACCAAGTTTATAACAGGCCAAGATAATGGATTTTTTTAAAATTTTTTTGTTAAGTGAGGAAGGGAGAGGGAGAGAGAGAAACATTAATTTTCCAGAGAAATAATGATCAGCTGCCTCCTCAAGGTACCCCAATTGGGACCAAACCACACCTGGATATGTGTTCTGACCAGGAATCAAGCTTCATCCCTTCAGTGCACGGGACGATGCTCCAACCAACTGAGCCACACTATCCAGGGCTGATAATGGAATTTTGAAAGATTACCCAAGGTTGCTAACTAAAGAAAAAGGGAGAGAAGTGGTTCTAGTGCATGCTTGTGAGCACAGTTGTGGACTCATCTGAGGTTCTGCCCCAAAAAGCCACCTGTGGAAGTAGAGATTGCAGGTAGGGGTGGGACCTCAACTAAGAAAAGCTGGATATCACCAGTTTCTAAGGAGGGAGTAGAGAGCTTCCTTCTAGTGAAGGAAGAAAAATTGATATAAAGGGAACTTTGGGAGACAGTCACCAATGATGTGGAGTTTCGTCCCAAAGAACCCTTAACTACCTGATAGTCACATTTTTGGTTATTCAAGTGGTCAAGTAAGCCCTTTTGCTTTGCTCTTCTTCCTTCCTTCCTCCCTCCCTCCCTCCCTCCCTCCCTCCCTCCCTCCCTCCCTCCCTCCCTCCCTCCCTTTCTTCCTTCTCTCTCCATTCTGCTTTAACTTTATAGTGTTCAAAAACTATGTTTAACAAGAATGTATCTCTAGGTTAAAAAAAAAGAAAAAGGAATCACAATCCCTATTTCATTACAATAGGCTTCTCATTTACAATGAGCCCTAACCTAGGATAGAGGCTAATACCCAAAGTTAAATGAAGTTTAGATTTTTGATTATTATGTTGGCACTGAGCATTTCAATTACTGAATGAAACTGTTTTACAACTTAAAGTGACTGCATAACTTTTTATTACCTAACTATATTTAGAAATCATGGTATTCATTGATGTAACATTTTTATAACTTTATGGTTTTTAACTCTTTAAATTCAGCCTAAAAATATTGTTTATAAAGTATGTCACCTTTTTTTAAATAACAGATAACTTCAATTTAAAGAATTAAATGACCTTAATCATTTACATTTAAAACTTGGTTAAATTGACTGCATTTGTAATTTTAATATGTTTATTTGTCTTCAAGGACTTCAGATCCTAGACTTAACAAGAAAATGTTCTCAATACTTAAACAACTTTTATAAAGCTAGTATATTAAAATGAAATAAAAACAATAAAATAAAACAATAATGCATATAGATTATATTTAACACTAAAGCAACTCAAATTCTATAAAAATTCCAATACTAAATTTAAACTTGGCTAAGTTCTTTTATTTTTTTAGACAATATATTCTAATACAACAATAGCCATCCAGTGTGAATGAATCAAAATTATATTTTTTTTGTCAGATAGGTAAAAAATATAGTAATATTTTTCGGTGTGCTGCAGAATTTTAGTGATTAGTTTACGTGTGCCATGGGATGAAAAAGATTGAAAATTGCTGCAGTAGACGAAATCTCCTGGTTGTGAGCTGTGATCTTTGAAGACTTTGTATCTCCTTTCAGCACACTAAAAAATGAATCAGTCGCTAATTTATCAATTTATTTTAGCTAATTAATAAGTCCTTGGTAATAATGCATAATGCCTCCTCCGAATAAAATTGGTTCACATGCCCTTTCTTCCAGATTCATAGAGCAACCAGTGACTGCTTCATAAGGAGAAAGGCTGAGAAGTACTATAGGGAGAGCTTGTGGTCAAGGGAGACTGAAAGCTTCTGAAAATTTAGCTATTTGAGTTTTAATTGTATCATGTGGGGTACAGACCAGAATGTTAAACTGCAGCTTCCTGGCATAAATGCCATGCCTCTATTAACTGATCTTCTCTTTATTCCTTTCCTGTCAACTAGTAACCAGGTTATTATAATAATATCAATTCATTTAAGGCTAGTACGGAGTGGTTTGGTAAATTTAAGCAAGAGATGTTTATTTATAGATTAAACGTGTACTGTATATATTAGTAAGAAAGGTAAAAACAGGGAATCTGGTGGGTCTAGAACGAATTAATTCATTATGTCATTTCTAATGGGGAAAAATTATTCTGTTTTCAAACAAATCACTTCTCAGAGAGTCTTCCAGAGGGGATTAAATTGGAAAGCCGAGGTTCCACAGTGTGTGCTTTCTTGAGGATGATTACAGTTTATTTCAAAGATATGTTAACTTACAATAGATACACAGGAACAATTGACATAGCCTGCTTAAGACAGAAATAATTCTTTTAGTAAAATGCTATATACCTGGGGCATGACTACCCAGTATGACCCACCCAGTTAGGAATATATGATCAGTAACCCTGTGAGATTATTTCCATAGAACTCTTATTTCATCCACATAATTGTCTTCATTCTTGTGAATTTATTTTATAGCCATTTTTTTTTTTAAACACCTTTAGTGTCATTTTAGCATGTTTGGGAAGGAGCTGAGGCACCTGTTCATCTTTTCAATCTTCAAACAAGCACCATTAAGAGTGAGAGTGTGTGTGTGTGTGTGTGTGTGTGTGTGTGTGTTAATAAGTATGTAATTACTTAGGGATTCAAGAGAATCCCTGCAGAGCTCTCTGTCCCGAGCATGCCTGATGCCTGCATCTCGCCCTTCCCCCAAGGCATGTTCCCTTGCCTTCTTTGTCCTAAGCTCCCAGAGCCCTCCTTTTGCCTCTAACTTGTTTCCTGAGCCTAAGTAGCTCAGCTGGCTCACTTCTACTACCTCTATACCTTTCTAAATAAACTCTCTTAAAAGGAAGAAGGAAGGAAGGGAGGGAGGGAAGGACCCTTACATAATGGAAAAAGCCCTTTCTTTTCATTGGAAACTATTTCTTCAAACGATATAGCTAATTTCCATTCCTGATACGTTGGATTGGGTTTTTCATTTCTTTAAAAATGTTTTTAAAGAAATAAAAATGTTTTAATGAAAAAGGTTTCATTTCTTTTTAAGGTTTTCTCTCTGGTTCTAAAGATACTTTAATATTTTCTCATAGGCTTTTGTATATCATCAATGGAAGAAATATCCAAACCTGTAGAGAATTTTTATGAGTTTATTTGAGCCACACTGATGACATTGCTGGGAAGCAAGGTCCCAAATACTCCAAAGGATGTATTTCTTTTCTATATTTGTAATTAAGGAGGGAATGTAAGGAAGATTTACATGAAAGTGAAAGAAAGCAAGGTACATGATAACATACTATATTATCTGCTCACTTGAGGGTGGTTATGCCTCTGAGGGATCTGAAAAAGCGGCATTTCAAAGGGGTGTTGGCCTAGATGCACAAAAACAATAAGGTGAAGATAAACCTTTTATAGGCCAGGAGGTTAATACCCATCATGACTTTCCTAGTTAGGAATTTATGTCACATCACCCTGAGAGATTAGTTTTGACCACTGACCTTCTATGTACTCCCTTTTTCATTTCCCACATCATACATATGACTTTAAATCTTTGCCTATCCTTTCTATCCTATTCTTTCTCTCTGATCTAACCAGAACTCTTACACATATATACCCCAGCTCTCAGATCATCTGGCTCTGTGAGTGATGTATTAGTTTCCTATTGCTGCCCTGACTTCTTGGCTTGAGGCCTCCAGCCAGCCATCATATCAGTCTGACCTCTGCTTTTAGACTCCTTTTAACTCTTTCACTTGTAAGGTCTTTTCCAACTGAATTGGTTTACCCAGATAATCCAGGATAATCTCTGTATCTCAGAATCCTCAATTTAAACACACCTGCAAAGTCTCATTTGCCATGAAAGGTAACATATTCACAGGATAATGGGATTTGGATATGGACAATTTGGGGAGCCATCCACAAGTGATAATGCTAAAATGATATTGATACTACAACTGGAAAAGTATATCATCAGCTTGTAAAAATACCTCTCAACCTTATTTTTATCATAGGGTGGATTTTCACTATCTTCCAGTTCATGTAGTCCCTTCTATTCTAAACCATTTTCTCAATGAATCCTTCGTAAGCAATAATTTAATTAAATATTGTCACATATATACATTTCATTCTCTAGATTAAAAGTGTTGTAATGGGAAAAAGAAAGTCCATGATTTAGACCTAGGTTATAAACTCATATGCCCCTGAAGCCAGATAGATAGCATAAATCAATCAAATCAATCTGGGTAAAGAATGGGACTGTTGTTACTACCTAGTATACAACTAGTATAGTAGCATTCAAGACATTTTTTAAAACCTTTTGATCAAACTAAACAGGGCTTCAGGCTACAAGTTTGGACCCCTGATTTAGGTAATAGTTGGTCTTTAGATCCATAAAATATTAAAATAGTAGCAATTCCTACTAGTTTTTAAAAGTTTTCATATCTGTCTATTTATTTATTTCCCATGGTCACCTGACCTGTGACAATTGATAAGGAGTTCACTGTCTAGGTTGCTAGAAAGGTAAGTCTAAGGATTAAGTGATGATAAAGGACTGTAATAGAGGTTTGAAAACACATATAAAGGAGAAGTTAATTCTGTCTTATTAGGAATATGGAGAGATAATCAGCTAACGCTTTTTAGAGATGGATGACTTAAGCTGAGCTTTGAAGAATTAATTCTCAGATAATTAGCATTTAGTCTTTATTTTGCCTACTCTCCACCTATTAAAATTGTACTTTTTTGAAAAATAAACACATATTGCTTATTTCATTTTACTTTTATAATTTCTCTCCCTTCTCTCCCCCCCAGATTTTGTTTTGTGTACAACTGCTTTGGAAAAGATGGCTGATATTAACCTCAAGGAAATAACCTTAATAGTAGGTGTGGTTACTGCGTGCTATTGGAACAGTCTCTTTTGTGGTTTTGTTTTTGATGATGTTTCAGCAATACTGGATAATAAAGACTTGCATCCATCTACACCTTTAAAAACTTTATTTCAGAATGACTTCTGGGGAACCCCTATGTCTGAGGTAAGTAATTATATATTACTTATAAAAATCTCAGATTTTAAAATATTTTGGTAGTTTATTACTTCTATTTCTTTTTTTAAATATATTTTTATTGATTTCAGAGAGGAAGGGAGACGGAGAGAGAGCTAGAAACAATAATAATGAGAGAATCATCGATTGGCTGCCTTCTGAACGTCCCCTTCTAGGGATCGAGCTTGCAACCAAGGTGTGAACCCTGACTGGGAATCGAACTGTGACTTCCTGGTTCATGGGACACAGATCAACCACTGAGCCACTTTAGCCAGGCCCTATTTCTTTCTTATAAGCATTGTCATCATAGCAATTAATGGGATTTTTTTATCCCAAAATTTTATGAGACATAGCATGTTTGTTAAAAAAAAATGGATAGGAAATTGAAGATGTGGTTATCTTTTTTAAAGCATTACTTATTTCTTTCCTTGGTTGTGTTACTTAGCTTAGTCTTTTAAAAAATAATGTGTGTGTGTGAAAAGCAAATGTGTTAGCAAAACAGTAGATGCAATACAAGTCTGCTTCTTGCTCACTGGCTTTCTTTTTTCTCTTGTGAATGAGGCAAAAGAGATGACTATTTGTGATATCTTTATTTAAATACACATGTAACTTAAATATAAATTAGATCTTAAGTGAAAAAATAGTAATTATACATATATATGGCCAATTTTTCTGTAGAAAAATAAAAGGTGATTTATTAAAAACATTAAATATCTTTCTTATCTAATAGGTTTTTATTTTATTTTGTATTGAGAACCCAAAAGCTCAGTTCATTCTTATGAGTCCTCAGAGCTCCCAGACTGTGAGAGGGCACAGGCTGGCCTGAGGGACCAATCCCCCCATCCACCCAAGTGCACAAATCTCTTGCACCAGGCCTCTAGTAATAAAATAAACAAATTCTATTTTCTTGAAACCTTGCTATTTTTACCCAATTCTAGCCTTTAAAACAATAAGTCTTTTGTTAAGAAGGGAAAATTTGTCCTGTTATACATTATTTTCTGGACAGTTTATTTTCCCTTCACCTCTATAATTTAATCCCCAGAGACCCTTAGAAGTAGGTGTCCATTTGCCTATTTTATGGCAGTTGTCTTTTGTGATTTAATAATGACATTGAGATTTTTAACCTGAAAGGTTAGATCAGTGGTTGGCGAACTGTGGCTCGCTAGCCACATGAGGTTCTTTGGTCCCTTGAGTGTGGCTCCTCCACGTGCGGGCGTGCACGTACATTGTGATTGAAACTTTATGGCCCATGCGCAGAAGTCAGTTTTTAGCCTGGGTGAGTCTATTTGAACAAGTGGTTCTAACACCGAGCCACACTCAAGAGGCCAAAGAGCCACATGTGGCTCATGAGCCCCAGTGTGCCCACCACTGATGATCAGACTAAAGGGCTCATAGAAGTTATCATACCGTGGTATTAATGCTATATTTTATGATTTTCTCAGCTTTGCAGATGAAAATTTGATTTTGGGTGGAGCACCTATAAGAGAATACCCTAAGAAAAAAACCCAGAATATATGAACAAATTAGAATAACAATTTGTAGTGAAGAGTCTTGCTTCCTCTTATTTTCTGATAGACATGTTCTCTCCCTATAGGGAAATGTGCTACTAGGGAAAAGTTATTCTAGGTAGTATTTAGTTGTCATAAGGTTTCTTGACAAGCCTGGAATTAGCACTTTCAAAGACTTAATGATTGATGTTATCAAGTAACGGTAGCCTGGACACTAGCACAGGTATAACCTTTATAATGATATTTGTACCAGTGTAGATCTTAAAGACACATTCTCCTGAGCTATATGAATACTACAACATAAGGGAATCATTATACTTCTCTGGTGCTATCATTGTTTAGATTAATCACTATAATAAGCTCATTTAAAAAATATATATATATAAATATATATATATATATATATATATATATATATATATATATATATATATAAAATACCCTGTTTATTGATGTTTTCTTGTATTGCAATCCTAGCTGCACATAGAATCTGCCTGGGTCACTTTAAAAATACATATCACCAAGGATCTACCCAAAGCTACTAATTACACTTATCACAGAGTGGGATATTGGCATCAGTATTTTTTGTCCTGTTTTGTTTGTGTGTTTGCTTTCTTGTTTTTGTGGAATTTGGGAGGGAGGGGGAACGAGAGGGCTGTGTAAGTTATCCAGGTGATTGGTGCAGCCATGGTTGAGAACCACTGAGCTATAAAGCCATACTTTTCTGTCAAGTACCTGTGCTAAGGTAACTTCTGCAGGTATCCTTTCTCATTTTGTTTTGCCATCCATATATGTAGTTACATTAACAGCTTATTTTTTCATTATATTTGTGCTTATGTTTCTATTGCCAACTAATACCATGACTAATTTTTTCTTTAATATACTTGAATATAATAATAATGATCAGAATTATCTTGTTTATAATGAAACTAGCTGTTTTACTAGATTTTTAGAGTAAATTTGATATATAAGCTGATGATTATCTACAACGGAGTCTTATTCAATAGATTAATGAATTATATGAATAATTTGTTATATTAACAGCTAATCTGTTTTTAGTTGTTAGTACCTATGGCATCTATAGACCTAACAAAGCAGCTATGTATACTGCAGTTGAAAATACCTATTCCCGGCTCCTTTCTTGCTTCATCCTTTCAGCTGGCAAATATGTTCCAATGGAGACAAAGTAACATTTCAGGCACTCACAATGTTTCCAGAACCTTTTTCTGCTTTCTGGTACAAATCACGTCAGTTCGATAAAGTGATAAAGTGCCTTAAAATAAAAGATGTACGCCTGAACTGAAATAAAAAGGATGTATAATTATTAGCCTAGCAGGAAAGAGACCTAAATTATATCACACCAAATATATCAATCCTAGCTGCACATAGAATCTGCCTGGGTCACTTTAAAAATACATATCACCAAGGATCTACCCAAAGCTATTAATTACAGTTATCACAGAGTGGGATACTGGCATCAGTATTTTTTGTCCTGTTTTGTTTGTGTGTTTGCTTTCTTGTTTTTGTGGAATTTGGGAGGGAGGGGGAACGAGAGGGCTGTGTAAGTTATCCAGGTGATTGGTGCAGCCATGGTTGAGAACCACTGAGCTGTAAAGCCATACTTTTCTGTCAAGTACCTGTGCTAAGGTAACTTCTGCAGGTATCCTTTCTCATTTTGTTTTGCCATCCATATATGTAGTTACATTAACAGCTTATTTTACATCCATATATGTAGTTACATTAACATCCATATATGCCCCTCCCCCAACTGTTCTCCCCTGTAGGCCTAGGTAAACATCACTGATGGTGTTTGTAGTCAATACAAATAGAGATATTAAAATGTTCCTAGTTCAAAATGGGCAGTGTCTGTTGCTTGTGCTTGTGTATGTTCTCTGGTAGGTATGAACAGGCTAAAGTCTGTACCTACGCACCAAACTATGTAAGGGGTAGGAGAGCAAAGATGCTAAGTGTGCATTCCCTTATATAAAATTACAAGAAATAAATAAGATAAATATTTTATGTAGTTTTCATCTTTGTGTTTTATTCTTAAATCTGATTTGATTTTGTCTTAAAGCAAAAATATTTCTGGTTAAATGTGACTTTTCATTTATAAAGAAATTTAGTACTTCATATAAAATTGGATGTATTGCTGTTGGAGTCTGCCATAGCAAAAGTATCTATTCTCTTATAAGACTAGAGGCCTGGTGCACGAAATTCGTGCATGGGGCATGGTTGTTCCTCAGCCCAGCTTGCACCCTCTCTAATCTGGGACCCCTCAAGGGATGTCCAGCTGCCCATTTAGACTTGGATTGGGCCTAAACAGGCAGTCCGACATCCCTCTCACAATCCAGGGCCTCTGGCTCCCAACTGCTTGCTTGCCTGCCTTCCTGATTATCCCTAACCTCTTCAGCCTGCCAGCCTAATCACCCCTAACCGCTCCCCTGCCAGCCTGATTGGTGCCAAACTGCTACCCTGCCAGCCTGATTGCCCCTAACTGCCCTCCCCTGCAGGTCTGCCCTTCCCCCAACTGTTCTCCCCTGTAGGCCTGGGTCCCCCCCAACTGCCCTTCCCTGCAGGCCCAGTTGCCCCCAACTTCCCTCCTCTGCTGGCCTGGTCACCCCTAACTGCCCTCCCCTACAGGCTTGATTGCCCCAACTGCCCTCCCTTGAAGGCCTGGTGTCTCCCAACTGCCCTCCCCTGCTGGCCATCTTGTGTTCACATGGGGCAGCCATCTTGTGTGTTGGAGTGGTGGTCAATTTGCATATTACTCTTTTATTAGATAGGAAGGTTTTTCTCTTGCATTACTCTCTGTGTTGTATTTTGAGATTTTTGGTGTGATATAATTTAGGTGTATACATTATGGACAATAGGGTAAGAAAAAGGAACATCTGTAATACTTTGAACAATAAAGATTGTTTTTAGGTAAATGCAATGATTAGTTTATATACCCTAAAGAACCAAGGTACTTAGTAATCAGTGATTGTTTTTTCCTTTTAGGAGAGAAGTCACAAGTCTTACCGTCCCTTAACAGTATTGACATTTCGCCTAAATTATCTGTTTAGTGAACTGAAACCGATGTCGTATCATCTCCTAAATATGATTTTACATGCTATGGTCACTATAATATTTCTTAAAGTCTGCAAACTTTTTCTGGACAGCAGAAGTAGTATGATTGCTGCTTTACTCTTTGCAGTACACCCAATACACACAGAAGCAGTAAGTACACTGTAAATATTTCATTATTTTTTATAAAGTCTGCACAGTGATTATATAGTATTAATATATATTTTTAAGAATAATATTTAACCATGACTTTATTGTAGACTCTTAAATTTCTGCTGTAAGTCCTAACTCCCCACTGCACAGAATCTAACTTTGTACTACATAAAATTTTTAAATTTAAATCAGTTTTTGAAACATAAATATTTATTATTCAAAAACATAAGATGTAATCATTGAGTCTTAATGTAATATGTAAATGACTACACTTTTATTCTTTGCTAAATGCAAATATGAACAAACATCCTAACAAGTGATGAAAGTCTGTAGTTTCAAATTGTCTGTTGCCATATATTTCAAATTGCTATTGCCAATATGTCCACCAGCCCCTACCTACCTAGACATACTTCAAACAATAACTTTTTTGTTGTTAACCTTAAAATTCCAAAATTGCCTTTCAGGAGTGTAAAGAAGAGTCTGTTAAATTGCTTTGTTTTGATTCTAAGTAAACAATTATGTTTAAATTCTGTGTATGTGTTGTAGGGGACTTGTGTCTCCCACTGTCTTGAACTTTTTGGAGTCTAGCAGTTTTCCATACATTTACAAAAATCATAGGTTGTTTTAAATTTTAGAGTGAGTTCAGAATATTTTAAAGGGAGATGCTTGGTGTTTTATATTTAAATTTTTAAATTTTAAAGTTGATTATCTTTTTTAAACTAACTTGCTGGCTTACTGTGAGATATAACTCATTGAATTTATATATATATATATTTTTTAAAACACTTGCATTTTAAGGAAATATTTAAGAAGTACCGTATTTTTCGGACCATAAGACGCACTTTTTTCCCCCCAGAAGTGGGGGGGGAAAAGTCCCTGCGTCTTATGGTCCAAATATAGCCTACACATATACTTTAAAAAAAAAGTTTTTTTACTTGCCCGGCTCTGTGTGGTCTCTGTGTGCTTGCCCGGCTCTAAAATGGTTCTAAATGCTGCTGTTTACTTTACAGGGTTGATTACATGTGTTTATGACTGTGATGTTGGGTTTTAATGCACATAAAATATTTTAGGACACTATTTGTTTCAGAATCTTTTTTTCTTCATTTCCCTTCTCTAAAAACTAGTGCGTCTTATGGTCCAGAGCATCTTATGGTCCGAAAAATACGGTACTTAAATGTTACCGTTGAGGGAAGCTGGGTAAAGTGTACCTGGGACCTCTACCTACTATTTTTTAAGTTTCTGTGTGTTTATAGTTACTTCAAAATACCTATATATATAAAAGGCTAATATGCTAAGTGTCCTCTGGTAGCTATAATGTGCACTGACCACCAGGGGGCAGATGCTCAATGCAGAAGTTGCCAAGCTGCAATAACTTGGCAGCAGTAGTTCCTGGGTGACACATCCCGAAACCAAAGAAGAGGGAGCCCAGTTCCTCACAGGGCTGTGCAATTCCACCTTCAGCCATGGGTTATGTTGCTGCTGGGGCACTGTGGGCCCTGGATCTGGTTTACTGCACACTTGCATTTGTGTTCCACACCCTGTATGACAAAAACTTTGCAGAGTGCCCTCTCACACTCTGGAATTCCTGGGGAGATGTTGGAGAGCAGTTTTGGCCTGATCCCTGTAGGCCAGACAGGGATTCCACTTGCCAGAGGGACCCCGCTCACTCCACAGACACCCTTCAAGCCAACGTGCCACCCCAGGTGTGGCTGGCTGGGGAGGGACCCAAGGAGGTTGGCTCCAGGGCATGTCTAGCCACCTTCTAATGAATTTCCTTGCACGAATCTGTGCACTAGGTCACTGGTTACTGATAAAAGGACTTTGGAGTCACTCACTTATTTATTTTTATGGAAGATATACAAATTCACCACATGAGGGCACTCAAAGAATGTCTAACTAAAATTTTGTTATGTACAGTTAAGTTTTCAAGATGCTCTTCATTAATATGACCCCCCTTTCCCTTTATAGGTAACAGGTGTTGTAGGAAGAGCAGAACTTTTGTCATCTATCTTTTTTCTAGCTGCATTTTTGTCATATACCAAATCTAAAGGACCGAATAATTCCATAGGTAAATGTCTTAACATTCAGTTTTTTTCTGTAGTTATAAAACTTGATCACGTAATTTTTATCTACTTTAGTACTGCTTATAAAACATATGCCACACTTGGGGCTTATCATTATATATTATTCTACTTTAGCATTATGGATATATGAAAGTATGCAACATTGTTAATGTTAAAGTTTCTTGCATGTAGTTTATATTTTCTCATGACTAACAGATTCTATGTGATCTAATTTTTTAAAAATTATTCTAGGATGTAGGAGTTTTTGGATCATTTTTAGTTTCGTCTGCTGTTTCCTATAAATGATATAAATATGTACCAATATTTCAGTTGTCTTTCTGTAAATAAATAAATAAACACCTCTGAAGACTGTAAATTATATTATTAGGCAAAGTTAAAAGCCTATTAGAGTGTAACTTTTATTATGTGTTGATCATAGTTCAGCTGTTTATTGAGTCCTTACCATGTGGCCTACCCCTGGAAAATGCTTTGTATGCAGTAGCTCATTAGTGCTGATAATGCCTAGCATTGTCAGAAACCAAGTTCCAAGCAATAAAAACACAGTGGCATGAAAGGGTCCTTAATTACAGGATATTGTGGAGAGGGGAGCAGGGTAATAGCTGGTCAGGGTACATAATGTCCTTAATCTGTATTAGATTGTTCTTAAAGTTTAAAGCTGAGGTTTTTGTCCTTCATTCTTAGAGAATTTTCTCACTATAGACCCAAGGTACCTATGATAAGAAGCCTAATTTTGTGTGTATAGAAACTAAAACTAAGGTTCAGGAAATAAGTGACTTAGTAGAACAGCTTTAGTGTCTTCTCAGATTTGTATAAATGAGTTTGCCTCTGCTGCTATACACAATAACTTTTTAAAACAATTTGAGTGACAGCATAGCATAGAGATTAAGAGCATGGACTCAAGAGTCTTGTTTCACTTTCCAGATCAACCATTTGCTACCTCTGTTTACTTCTTTGAGTAAATTACTTAACCTCTCTGTGCTTTAGTTTCTTTATTTATAAAGTGTAAATAATAACCGTTCTTACCTGTTGTGAGGGTTAGATTGATGTCGGGCAGCAGCTGAGGAGTCCAAGGGAAGCCTCAACCCAGTACCAAGGTCCAGGATCTTACCTTAACCCAAGAAAGGATTTGAGAGTGTGATAGGAAGATTTAGCAAAGCACAGTAGGTTTATTAAAGTGATAGTACCCACTCAAGTGAGAGTTGGGCAACCTCAGAACAAGATGCCCCAATGAGGTCTGTGTTGAAGGTTTTTATTAAATGAGGGCAAAGTGGGCATAGGGTGACTTGGTTTCTGGCCCTGATAGGGTGCCTGCCAAAGTGGCTCATCTTCTTTCCTCTTCTTCAGGTAGCAATTTCTTTTTTGGTCCTCCTAAAAATGTCATGGCAATTCAGGGGGTAAGGTGTAAAGGCTCAAAACCATAAACCAGATTTATTATAAAGATATCATAATGGCCCTATTGGTCACTTTTAGGTCAATAGGCTGCCAAATTTGGGTAAGACAATTTCTGTTTGTCTTAATTACAGGATATTGAGGAGAGGGAAGCAGGGTAACAGGTGGTCAGTGAAGATTACATCTATGATATTCCAGCCAATATGGAAAGGGGGAGGGGCAGAACTTGAGGCCTCTGTTCCCTGTCCTATCTTTCCCTGCCTCAAGATGGGTTAAACATGTAAGACATTTGGAGCAGTACGTGTCTCAGAGTAAGCAGTGTACCTGTTTTTCCTATTGACCTTCCATCCGGTCAGTAGTAATTCAGTAACTAATATAGAATTTCCTAAGTAAAGCATGAATAATAAACTTAGAAAATACTGTGGCCTACAAGACCATGACCAGGATCTGCCTACCTCTTTAACCCTATTTCCCTGCCATTCTGCCCTGCTTAGCTTCACTAGCTCCAAATAGACTTTTCTCATCCCCACATAGGTGAAGCACTTGTGTATACTTGCTATTATTCCCTCTTTTGAATTTCCGTCCCTTAGATCTTCACATAGTTGTCTTATTTATATTTTTCTTTATATCATCAGGCCTCAACTCAGCTGTGTTTCCCTCTTAAGGAAACCTTTCCTATTCTAACTAAAATAACCTTTCACTTTCAGTCAAACCTCCTTTGTTTCTCATACATTTCCCATCTTGAATAGTTCGATCTCAACCAGCAAATGTTTCATGCTGATACCAATATGGATCATTCGCAAGTTTTTCAGGCAATAAAAGAGAGAATGCATGAGTATCAATTTACCACTATTAACATCTCATTGTGCTGTGAATATTTTCTTTTTCTGTATTTTTTTGCTTTTGTTGCTACTTATTATAAAATTTTCATTTTTTACTGTACATTTCATTGCCTTTTAAGTTATAATGTCCTTTTTATTTTTTAAGTGCTTACTTATAGATTAAACAGTACATTAGACAGCTATGGTATATAAGAAAGGTTAAAATGGAATCGTTTGGGGGTCTGGATCAGATTAATTCAATTTACATGATTCTAATGGGGGGGAAATGCTTTGGTTTTTGAACAGCCTTCTAGAACGAATTAAGTTTGAGAACCACATAATTTTACTTGGTTCTTTTTAATGATTTCCTATCCTTCATAACCCTAGTATCTTTCCTTGTTTCCGTTAGAATTACTTATTTTAAATTCTTGGCCTATCTTTTCAAGTAATTCTGATGTAGTAGTATATGTTATTATGTTTGCTATCTCTCTTTTATGACTGCTGTATCCTCCAGATATCTACTTATTTTGGCTTGTGAGCTCAAGCCACATGATGTTCAAAAGTTGCTGATCACTTTCTCCTTACACTGTTAAGGAGAAGGGGTCACTTTTTCCATCCTGTCATTCATTAAAACCCAGGGTGAGAGCTTCAGGTTCCCCAGGGCCACTGCTGCTCTCAATTGTTACCATTCTACCAAATGCCTCCTTGGTCTCTTAAAAAGAATCAGCATTGAGAAGAGGCCAATCTACCCTCCTGCATTTAGATGGGAGATATGTGGAAGTGATTTCTTAGGGTTGGTTGTTCAACTACCCTTTATCCCAGCAAGACTTCTGAAATGCTCTGATTTAATCGGGGGGATGCCCACAATCTGCAGATTTCTACAGTAAAGGAGCACAGAAGGATCTATCCACTACAGTCAGGATTGGCTACAGTGGAAGTTAATAAGGTGGTTTTTTTCCTCATGCTTTAGTTTCAGTCCCTGATTGCACCCTACAGACATGTTAGGGAGAACCTTCCATCGCCAGGAGTTAGTTTTTTTTGTTTTGTTTTTTTTTTAAGGATTGTTTTGTTTTTGCTTTCAAATAGCTTAGAAGTCTTAGTTTCTCTTACTTAATTTTTTTTCTAGGCTTGATTTTTGCAGAAGAGGCCAACAAGTCAACAGGTTATGCTATGATAGTTCATCACTTGACGAAAACAAAAAATCAAATCATCTTGCTTTCTATCCCTTTATCCTACACTTCTCATAAGGGTCATTTCTAACCTGAAAAATACATATTTTGCAATTTTCTTTTACCACTTTATTGCTTGTTCTTTCACAGTAAAATATAACATTCATTAAGGTAGTTATCTTTATCTCATTTTCTATCTCCATTTCCTAGACTGATTCCTGGTACACAGTACTTATTCAATAGATACATGTATTTATTGAGGTAATGGTCAAGTGAATAAATGTACTGTACAGTTTTAATATATTTTTTATTGATTTTAGAGAGAGGAGGAGAAACATCAAAAGAGAAACATCAACATTGATCCGCGGCCTCTTGCACACGCCCTGCTGAGGATTGAGCCCACCACCCCAGCATGCGCCCTAACCAGAATTGAGCCAGTGCCTTGGTGCCTGGGTCGATGTTCAATCATTGAGTCACACTGGCTGGGCTAAATATATTGTATTTTAAAATCTAATGGATAAGATGCTAAAACCTGCTTGTACCTCCCTCTGTCCTTTTAAACCCTGTGATATTTAATTTCACATGTGAGACTACACAGTTTAGTAAGAATGGTACTCTACCTTTCCTAGTAGTGTTTAGTTTCAGATTTTTAGTAAATGAAGTATATTTATATCTGTATGTTAATTTTAGATAGTTGTCTTTATTTCAAATTGATCATTATTCATGACACTCAAACTTGTAAGTTTCTCTTTTCCAATTGGCCACCTTACATTTGTTTTAAAAGTTAGTATTTGGGTCCTAACTGGTTTGGCTCAGTGGATAGAGTGTCAGCCTATGGACTGAAGGGTCCCAGGTTCCATTCTGGTCAAGAGCATGTACCTTGGTTGCGGGCACATACCCAGGAGGGGGTGTGCAGGAGGCAGCTGGTCGATGTTTCTCTCTCATCAATGTTTCTAACTCGCTATCTCTCTCCCTCCTCTCTGTAAAAAATCAATAAAATTATATTTTTTAAAGTTAGTATTTGGTTAGATAATCTTTATCTCCACAAAAATATTTTTTAAATTATATAACTTGATGTTTTATTTTTAATATTCAAAGCATAAATTACTTATACATTTTAAAATATAAAGTGTAAGTCATTGGGAAATAGCACAAATGTGAATATAGAATCACAAGTAAAGTTTTTCAATAATGTTTAATAGTTGTTTAACTTAAAATATCCTTTCATGCTATTATAAAAAAATTTTGTTGTTTTATTTTGTTCTGTTCTTAAATTGCAGTGTGGACTCCAATTGCATTGACAGTGTTTTTAGTAGCTGTTGCAACATTGTGTAAAGAACAAGGAATAACAGTTGTGGGAATTTGCTGTGTCTATGAAGTATTTATTGCTCAGGGGGTAAGGAGAAATATTTTCTTGATGCTCTCTTTTATCCTATTTGGATCTGATTATAATAAACTTATTTTCTAAACGTATCATGATGTAAATCAATCTGTGAACCAATAATAATATTACCAAAATTTTTCAAGAAACAAGCATGTTTTCCCTCACACCACTGAAAATTACTTAACATTTTAATACCTTCAGCTTTTTAAGTTTAAATAATGGAATTGTTAGGCAATTTGGAATACTTTACAATATACTTAATTATTAGATAAAATTATTGGGCTCTGTTTTATTCATTATCAGTTCCATATTGATTTTATAATTGCAGTCAGTTTTTATTTAATCTTGCATTTAGAAAGTACTACATTGTTGAAAACATTGTAGTACATGGTTATTTATTTAAAACATTTTTTTTTTTGTTTTCCAGTATACTTTACCATTATTATGTACTACTGCTGGACAGTTTCTCCGTGGAAAGAGTAGTATTCCATTTTCTATGCTGCAGACATTAGTAAAACTCATTGTTTTGATGTTCAGTACATTATTACTTGTTGTGATTAGAGTCCAGATTATTCAGTCTCAACTTCCAGTGTTCACCAGGTATGAATTTCTGTGTTGACGTCATTGTTGTTTTCCCATCATTTTTATTTTTTTAAATATATTTTCTTGATTTTTTTTTTTTTTTTTTACAGAGAGGAACGGAGAGAGTTAGAGAGTTAGAAACATCGATGAGAAAGAAACATCAATCAGCTGCCTCCTGCACACCCCCCACTGAGGATGTGCCCACAACCAAGGTACCTTGACCAGAATCAAACCCTGGACGTTTCAGTCCACAGACCGACGCTCTATCCACTGAGCCAAACCGGTACCAGCTCCATCATTTTTAACTTAACTTTGGATTTTGAGTAATTGCAAATATTCCAGAAAACCTTCAGTTTTTTGTTTATTTTTCCTCATTGCACCTTTTTTGTTTTACAAATCTTTTGTTTTATAATTTTATAAATCTTTATTTTTTAAAGTATTACATATGTCCCATTTTCCCCCCATTGGCCCCCTCCAGCCTGCTCACACCCTCCACACCAGGCCTTCACCATGCAAGTCTTCAGTTTACATTGAGGTTTTTAATAGCTTTATTAAGTTACTAGAGGCCCAGTGTATGAAAATTCACGCACTAGAAGTAGGGGGTCCCTTAGCCCAGCCTGCCCCCTCTCACAGTCCAGGAGCACTCAGGGGCGGGAGGTGACCCGGTGATCAGGGGAAGGTGACGCCCCCCCATCACACCTCTGCTGCTGCCACTGCCGGCAGCACATTCCTCGGCCAGCCCTGGTTACCTGAGCCTCAGTAAGTGAGGGGTGCAGGAGAACCCGAAGCCCTTAAGAGGACGCCAGCAGCAGGTGCATGGAGCAGTCGGCCCTGGCTGAGGAATGGAGGATTCTGGCTTGATTGCTCCTAACTGCTCCCCTACTGGCCTGATCGCCCCTAACTGCCTCTGCCTCGCCCAGAACCCAGGATTCCCTCTTCCAGCCAGTCATAGGCACCCAGAACCCAGGATTCCCTCTCTCTGGCTAGCCACAAGCACCCAGGACTTGGGCTGGCTTCACTAATCCTGGCTGCATCATCAGGGGACCATGGGCAGGCATCTTCACCCAGGCCACAGGCACTGGTGTCCAGGATCACATGGTGAGTGGCTTGTCCCTCTCCTGAGCCACAGGCATAGATGCAGCTGTTGGCAACCAGGACCATGGGGCATGCAGCTTGTCCCTCTCCCAGGCTGCAGCCTGTCTGGTCCCCATTCCTCTTTCTTGTGAGCTCATTTGTTCCTGGCTGGTCCCCATTCCTCTTTCCCCAGTGTTGAGTATCTGAGCCATTATGGAGTGAGGGCTTGACAAGCGTTTGCATATTAGTTTTTTATTTATTTACCAGAGGCCCAGTGCATGAAATTCGTGCACAGTAGGGAAGTATCCCTCAGCCTAGTCTGCACTCTCTCCAATCTGGGATCCTTTGAGGAATGTCCGACTGCCCTCTCACAATCCAGGACTACTGGCTCCCAACCGCTCACCTGCCTACCTGCCTGATTGCACCTAACCGCTTCTGCCTGACAGCCTGATCACCCCCTAACCATACCCCTGATAGCCTGATCCATGTCTAGCTGCTTCCCTGCTGGCCTGATTGCCCCTAAGTGCCCTCCCCAGCCAGCCTCATCATTTATGCACTTTAACAAGGAATTGATTAGAGGAAATATTTTCATATAGTTATTTGTCTTTTTGCTATAATAGAAGTGTCAGAGATGAAAGGAAATTGGTAAAATGTATATGAAAATCTCCTTTCTGTCAGAGTCTGGGGAACGCTTCGGGACCCAGAGTCAAGTCCCCACCCACCCACATGTGCTTCGAATTGGCGGGAGACCAAGACCCAGTTGTCCCCACCCCATTGGACGAGACCCAGACCCGGCTAGACCCAACCCTGTCAAACCCCTCTGGTCCCCTGGCCCAGTGCCAGGTGGGGCTGCAGGCTCAGGTCCTGCAGCTTGGCGCCAGGTTGGGGAGTGTGGCCTGAGGTCTCCCATCAAGTCCTGCCAGGCGGGCGGCACAGCCTGATGTCCACGTCAAGCCCCGCTGGGCAGGGGGCATGGCCTGAGGTCCCCCGGCCCAGCACTGGGGTGGGGGCACGGCCTGAAGACAGCCCAGTGCCAGGGTTGGGGCTCGGTCTGGAGTCCCCTAGCCTGGTGTTGGGGTGGGTGGTGCAGTCTGAGGTCCCTATCAAGCCCTGTTGGGGCTGGGGGCACAACCTGAGGTCCCCCAGTCTGGCTCTGGCTCGGGGAGTGTGGCCTGAAGTCCCCTGTCAGGACACCCTGGGTGGGATGTAAAGCCTAAGTTCCCTCTCCTCAACCAGGCACCATGCTGCCTCAGGTCCCTGCTGATCAGTCATTACGTGACAGCATCCTGACTATTCTGCATATTATCCTATTATTAAATAGACTAGGGGCTTATTGCAGGAAGATTCTTGACCGGAATCGAACCTCGCACCTTTCAGTCAGCAGAGCCAAACCGGCTTCGGCTAGGAGCATAATTTTTATTAGCATTCAGTGCTGAAAGAAACTTTTCAGGAGCATTCATAACATCACATGCAATAATGAATCTGACCCAACTTTTCTTACTATTTTTAATCAGAAGGTCATAATTTAATGAAAGTACTTTTGTAGTATCATAATATTGTAGTATGTATTTCTGAATGGTTTAATAAAAATAACTAGAAAATAGATAATCTTCTTGCCCTTTAATCACATTCTATAAAGATTAGACACTTTAAATTCTGGCAGAAATCTGAGGTCTTCATAAAAAATACTTATGCCTTCTGTTTTATTGCTGTTATTATTATTTACTGCTTTAGTTATATATTTTATGTTTAGAAAGGGTTTTTGTTTGAATAACTTTTTTGTTGTTGTTCTTTATACAGGTTTGATAACCCAGCTGCTGTAAGCCCGACTCCTACGAGGCAGCTAACTTTTAACTACCTCCTTCCTGTCAATGCGTGGCTTCTATTAAATCCTTCAGAGCTCTGCTGTGATTGGACCATGGGAACAATACCACTTATAGAGTCATTTCTAGATATTCGAAATGTTGCCACATTTACTTTCTTTTGTTTTTTGGGGGCTTTGGGAGTATTCAGTCTCAGATATCCCAGTGATTCCTCCAAAACTGTTTTAATGGTAAGGAACTTTCTTCATTATTTAAATTTGTGAACTTATTTTGGGTTATCCTAAAGTTATATATCAGAATTTGTTTTTTTTATTTTTTTATTTTATTTTATTGATTTTGTACAGAGAGGAAGGGAGAGAGATAGAGAACTAGAAACATCAATGAGAGAGAGTCATCGATCAGCTGCCTCTTGCACACCCCCCACTGGGGATATGCCCACAACCAAGGTACATGCCCTTGACCGGAATCGAACCTGGGACCCTTCAGTCCCCAAGCCGCCGCTCTATCCATTGAGCCAAACCGGTTTCGGCTATATATCAGAATTTGATATGCAGACATAATTTGACATGTATTCAGCGTGTAAAAAAAAAAAATTACTAATTTTTCTAATTTAGTAGGAACTCTGAATCATGAGGCGTCTCTTTTGGTATAATTTTCTTATATTTTTTTTTATCTTTTTACACAATTAGATTACACACTTTTTGAAGATATAGATCATATTTTATGCTTCTTTGATTTTTGGCACATAGAAGAATGTCATCAAAGATGTGCAGCCAGAAACATATAGCACTTTAATTCTCATTAGCAAGATTATCATTACTCCCTAAGGTATTTCTTACTTGTTGAGTTAACTATGACTGGAAGTATTTTCGTTGTTTTCTAAAGTTTAGTTCTTTGTAAATTTCTTATTCTGTCCTCACTTCTTTATTAGGCTGGGACACCATAATGGTGACAACCAGCTCAGGAGGAGGGTCTTGGCGCGGGCCCAGAGCCTGAGAGAACAACAGACAGGGTGGCCCTGGAATGGACACAGGCAGAGAGGGTCTGGGATGGGAGTCAGGCCCAGGTCCCAGCCACCCACGGCACCAGTCAGGCCCTGACTCCCGTGGCAGCCTGAGAAGTAGGCAGAGGACAGATCACTGAGGGTCTTATATACCATAGCAGGGAGCTTAGATTTTATTCCACAGGAGGAAGAAAAGGGAAGAATGTCAAGCATGGGAGCATCCTGGTCTTGCTTTCATTTTAAGTGAACCATTCTGGTACCTGTGGGAAGGATCAGTGTAGACAGCTGCAGTGTTTTTGGTCCCAGGAAAAAAAGAGACTGATGTTGGGAACTAGGACTAGACAGAGGCAGTGGATCAGAGACATATTTATAAGGAAACCTGATGGAACTATTTGGCTATTTAGAGATGACAGCAAACAAAAGTTATTAGCCCAGGTTTTCCAGTTTAGGCAACTTGGTTGGGTGATTCTGATAATTGGGAGAAGGTATCGAGGAAAAGGAACAGTGGAAGAGAGTTTGCTTAGTTCAGCAATAGCCAAACAATTAGGACAGAAGACAGACTTACTGCTCTTTCTTTACTGCAACATTTATTTTTCTGCCTTCAGCCAGCACCATGTAAGGCTAATGTGCCGTCATTTCTCCTAATCTAGGATATTATCTACTACACATTTTTATCACCTAAACTAGCTTTTCTGCATGATCCCTTAAACATACTTATCAAAGTCATTCAATGCTCTGGGAGTATGGGGACTTTAAAGATGAGGAAACAGCCGAAGCCGGTTTGGCTCAGTGGTAGAGCATCGGTCTACGGACTGAAAGGTGCCAGGTTCGATTCCGGTCGGGGTCATGTACATTGGTTGAGGACACATCCCTGGTGGGGGCTATGCAGGAGGCAGCTGGTCAATATTTCTCTCTCATCGACATTTCTAGCTCTCTATCTCTCTCCCTTCCTCCCTGTAAAAAAATCAATAAAATAGATTTTTAAAAATAATAATTAAAAAAATAAAGATGAGGAAACGAGCTTATATATAGGGTCTAGTAATAATTAATGTCGTTTTTAAACATTCGTTTAAAATCTTGCTTGGCGTTGACTTGTATTGATATAACCTTCAAACACGTGGTATCTACAGAACGTGTGAAGTGCAATTAACAAGTTTTGCTTGAAAAAGTTTGTGTTTGGTTTGGTTTTTGTTGCAAAACTAGGGCTAAGAAGATGGCGGATGAAGAGCATATTCGGCACTGCATGCTTTACGAGTTCCAATTAGGAAGAAAAGCAAATGAGGCTGCAAAAACATCTGTAGTGCTCTTGGTCAAGATGCAGTTAGCGCCAGAAAATGCCAGCATTGGTTTGAGAAATTTCGCGAGGGAAATTTTTCGTTAAATGACAAGAGTGGTCGAGGCCATGTGTCCAATTTTGATCAAGAAGCTCTTCAAGCTCTTTTGGTGCAAAATCCTCAAATTACCCAACAAGAGCTTGCGACAACTTTAAATTGTTCACAAAAAACAATTTCCAATCAATTGCTTGCACTTGGCAAAGTCCAAAAGTTTGGAAAATGGGTTCCTCATGAGTTGACCGACAACAACCGTAATCAAAGAGTCACAATTTGCAGTTCGCTCCTCTCTCGTCAAAACCGTTTGCCGTTTTTAGAGCAAATTGTTACCGGAGATGAAAAATGGGTGCTGTATGTTAATTTGAAAAGGCGGCCTCAATGGTTGGACAAAAATGAGGCTCCGCAGCCCACGCCAAAACCTGACTTGCATGCGAAAAAAGTGATGTTGTGTGTTTGGTGGAATTTTAAAGGAATTCTTCATTATGAACTTTTACCATCTAACCAAACCATTACAAGTGCAGTGTATAGTGCCCAATTGGAAAGGTTAGCCCAAGCTTTAAGAGAAAAAGAACCCGCGCTTTTTAATCGGAAGGGCGTAATTCTTCACCATGATAACGCACGACCGCATACTGCAAGAATCACTGCTGAAAAACTGCACCAGTTGGAATGGGAAGTTCTCCCTCAACCTGCATATTCTCCTGATATTGCCCCTTCCGATTACCATTTGTTTCGTTCTTTGCAAAACTTTCTTCTTGGAAAAAAATTTAATAATGAAGAATGCCTCAAAAATGCATTGACCGAATTTTTTGCATCAAAATCACAAGAATTTTACAACAGAGGGATTAAAATGCTTCCTGAGCGTTGGGCACAAGTAGTAGAAAACAACGGCAACTATATTGTTGATTAAATTTTGTTGTATTGTTTAAATTCGATTTAAAAAAGGTATTAGAAAACGACATTAATTATTACTAACCTAATATTATAGATTGATAAAGAGATATTGGGTGCTCAATTTTTAACGGTGAAATAAGATACTGAATGTGGTCATGCCAGAGGCATAATTTTAATGAGCCAATGTCTCATTACTGAAGTGTCATACTTCAAAAGAAACCTCTCAAATAATACAATACATAACACTCATCCAGGTTGCCTGTTAAAATGTAGGACCTCACCTTGAAAAACATTCCTTCCAGAGCTAATTTTGGTAGATAAATCTCCCTTCAATTAAAGTCGTCCTATATAATAAAACTGTAATATGCAAATTGACCAAACGCCAAAACAACTGGTCAGTGGGGATGGGGGCCAGTGAGCCAGGCCAGCTAAGTTGCATGCCAGCAAGCAGAGGGACTGGATGGCGATGAAGTGGGGAGGGCGGGGGGGGGGGGGGGGGGGGGGGGGGCAGCAGCAACCAGCAGCAGTGGAGTGATGGGGGCTGGCGCTGTTCCCTGATCTTCCACCTGGTCGTCTCCCGCTGAGGGATGCCATGGGCGTCAGCAGCAGCGGGGCGATTCAGGGCAGGGCCGCCCAGCATCATCCCCAGATAGGCCTGCTAGGGTTGCCTCCCACAGAGGGGGGCCATCAGTGGCCGTGGCAAAATTGAGGACAGCGCAACTTCTCGCTGTCCATGCCATCTTGATCTGCCCGCCTGTCACCTCCCACAGAGGGAGGCCAGACTGTTGCTTAGGCCCACTCCCCTCTCCCCTAAGCCATCAGTAGGACATCCCCCAAGAGGTTCCCGATTAGAGAGGGTGCATGCTGGGCTGAGGGAACCCCCCCAATGCATGAATTTTGTGCACCAGGCAACTAGTGTGTGTGTGTGTATTGATTTCAGAGAGAAAGGGAGAGAGGGGGAGAGAGAGAAACATCCATGAGAGAGAATAATAGATTGGCTGCCTTCTGCACACTCCCTACTTCGGATCAAGCCTGCAACACAGGCATCTGCCCTTCACCAAAATTGAACCCAGGACCTTTCAGTCCCCAGGCCAGCACTCTATCCAGTGAGCCAAACCAGCTAAAGCTATTCTGACCTCACTTATTATTCATAATTAGAGGCCCGGTGCAGGAAATTCATGCACAGGTGAGTGTGTCCCTCTGCCCAGCCTGCACCCTCTCCAATCTGGGATCCCTCTCACAATTCAGGACTGCTGGCTTCCAACTGCTTGCCTGCATGCCTACCTGATTGCCTCTAACCACTTCTGCCTGCCAGCCAGATCATCCCCTAACCACTCCCCTGCCAGCCTGATTGACACCTAACTGCTCTCCTGCTGGCCCATTTACCGCTAACTGCTCTCTACTGGCCTGGTCACCCCTAACTGTCCTCCCCTGCAAGCTTAGTTGCCCCTGCCTGCCTTCCCTGCTGGCCCAGTCACCCCTTACTGCCTTCCCTTGCCAGCCTGGCTGTCCCTAATTGCTCTCACCTGCTGGCCTGGTCACCCCTAACTGCCCTCCCCTACCAGTCTGGTTGCCCCTAACTGCCATCCCCTGCAGCCTGATCACTCCTACCTGCCTTTCCCTGCAGGCCTTGTTCTTTCCCACTGCCCTCCCCTGCAGGCCTGGTCACCCCCAACTGCCCTCCCTTGCAGGCCTAGTCTCTCCCAACTGCTCTTCCCTGCTGGACTGATTGTCCACAACTGCCTGCCCCTGCTGGCCATCTTGGGGCAGCCATCTTGTGTGATGGAGTGATGGTCAATTTTCATATTCTTTATTAGATAGGATAATTCTAATGCCCTTCTTTCAGATTACTGAAGATAATAATCCTCAATTCTTTCATGAGCATTTACTCAAAAGTGTTTTTAATAATTTGCAACTATATCTTTTCAGTCTGCAGCCACTAGATTTATTTAATAAATATATATTTTTAATTGTAACCTACGTACCAGGCAGCATTTGGACACTA